CACTGTTATGAGTGGGCACATTTTCCATGTTTGTAAACACAAGCCCGTGTGTACATCATAAAAGTTAAAGAAGACTAAATTCCACAATGCTCAGAATACTAAGTTATTACTCAATGGCAGAATTATGATTTTTATTTTCATCTGTTTTTTTGTCTATATTTTGTACTTTTTTTCTATAATAACCCCTCCCCCCCCCCATTGCTTTTGTAATGAAAAGAAACCTTGGTGACTTTGAAAGAGTTCTTGGCAGAATAAATGTGAGAATCACTTGCATTATGTGTACAGTCTTCACTGAGAAATGGAGTCTTCTCCCTCTTTAAAAAACATATATTTTTATTGATTTCAGAGAGGAAGAGAAAGGGAGAGACGGAAACATCAATGATGAGAATCATTGATCAGCTGCCTCCTGTACACCCCACACTGGGGATCAAGCCCGCCACCCAGGCATGTGCCCTGACTGGGACTCGAACTGTGACCTCCTGGTTCACAGGTCGACACTCAACTACTGAGCCACACCGGCCAGGCGATTCTTCTCCCCCTTAATCTTACAAGTCGGGGTGAGATGGGAATAGGTGGGAGGAAGGCTGAGGTCTAAGGTCACTTGGGGTGTAGAGATGGGATAAGGAAGGAGACCCAGGAATCCCAACTCTGATGATATTCTGAAATCGACAGGGGGCCCATGACCTTGCATAGAAGGCAGAGAGGACTGGGAGTCAGAGGACGTGAGTGAATCCTAGGTTTACTGGTTGACACTGAGGAAGATGCTTTATTTCTCTGAAACTCAATGTCTATAAAGGGAAATATAGTAATGCAGAATTACTGTGGGAACTAAATATGACAATTGTTTGCTTCGTGCGGTATAAAGCCCCAAACAAACATTAGATGTTGTAGTTAATAACATTCATCTCTGATTCAACCTTCGCAAGAAAGGTGGCCAGCGGCTGTGGCCAAGTTTGCATTGGCTGAGAGATTTCTGGATGTGCTGGAGGGAGGGACACATTTTCCCCGTGTTCAGGTAAGGTCTTGGATTTCCTGGTCCATAGTATGGAAAATAAAAACAAAATACACCTACTGTGAGTTCAGAGGAAGGTGTTTGGGGGCCTTCTGACTACTCTTTGAGGAAACACTATTTAGCCTGTAATGAGAAAGCCCTGGCTAGTCATGTGCTGAGCTCTGGGAAGGAGAAAATGGTATAAAAGGCAGAGGTCTGTGCCCCCTTCACCTATACTTGTTTACTGATGTTTTGGCAAAATGTTTTGGGGTGAGTTGGGTGGACCAAGGATGCCAAAGCTTGCCATCTGAGGAGATGGGGAGAGGCTGGGTGGGGTTCTGGTTCGATGGGTCCCCACTCTGCACGAGACAGGGAAGTCATGGCTTCAGGGCGGAGGCGGCAGGCACGCTCGTGAATATGAGCCCCTTTTACAGCGCCACTCGCCGTTTTCACGCAGGATGGCCCCTAACGTCCCCAAAGAGCACTACTGTCTTCATGCCACTACACGAGAGGGATTTAGTGACGCGGTGACAAGCTTTCTAAGTATTGATCATGTTGGAGACTCATTCTTGACTGCACCGCTCCAAGGCCACCCGCCTCAGATGACAAGCATAATCTTCACTCTTCTGTTCCTCCTCCACCTTTCCTGCCCTTTACTTCCTCCCCTTGTTCCTCAGTCTCCCTCTCCTTCTCCTCGTGTCCCCTCGCTGGTTCCAGATCCGGCCAGCACCCCCTCTGTGCTCCTCATGTCGCAGGCACCCACCGCAGGGAGCCAGCCGATGCAGGTGTCCTGAGCTACAGCACAGTGGCCTGTGTGATGAGGGCGCAGGCGGAACAGCTCTGGTCAGCGGTGCGGGGCTGTCCCTTTGCGCCGGCCACCAAGGCTTTGGCTTTCAGAGCTTTATTCCTCGTTTCCTCACCAGTCCCTTCCTCAATTATCCAACACATCTTTTAAAATCTTTTTGTAACTAAGTTTTTCTCCTAATACTCCTGCCAACCGTGCTCCTTTGCCCAGGCCCCTCCCTCTCTGCAGAGCCTCTGATGGAGCTGCTAGCTGGTGCTGACATGCCCTAGCTGGGCGCTGCGCTGCGCTGCGCTCCGGGTGTGGTTTCGCCTGGTGGACAGGCGCAGCGGGCCTCCTGTCCTGTGGGCAGTGGGGAGGGGAGCAGTGCTCAGCTCAGCTGCTTCCTCCCATTCCAGGCCTCCCAGGCTCATCATCTATCCCCGCTACCCACCAAGTGCCAGATGGAAGCCTTTTCTGTCTCCTTCGTTCCTTAGAACTCGCCCAACTATGTTTTTTCTAATCTGAATCTCATTTCGAAATCTCCTGCCCAAGGGGTTTCCCAACGCCTCTCAGCTTTGAATCAACCTGCTGTTTACAGCACACCCAGATCAGGGGGACCGGTTCTGACACTACGCCCTGAAGACACTCCTGTGCCCGAGATAGTCAGTGACACCTGGACAAACATTCCTTCCTTATCTCCCGTGAAGGAAGAAGCCAAGTAGGCTCCAAGCTGAGAACAGGAACTGGCCGGAAGGCAGGTACCAACTTGGCCGTATTCTTCCCCTGGGGAGACGGCTGGGGGCTCGCTGTAAATGCAGGTCCAGCCTGCAGGGGGGTGACCCTCTCCAAGCAGCCCACAGAATCTCTGCCCCCAAAAGTGCCCAGTCCCTCTCAGGGGGCGATTCCACAGGAATGGGAATCTTAGTCCCCGCCCAGGGCTTAATGCGGTGGATTTCTGGCCAGAGGGACCTTGAGCCAGGAGCAGCCTCTGGAACAAACACAGAGAAGTGGGTCAGTGTTTTTTTGAACAAAGGAAAACGGGTTGTTCTCTGCATACAAAGGTGACCCACTCACTACCTGCCTTGGTAACCTGAGAGCGCTCCCCAGCAAGGAGGGTCGCCCTGCTGGGGTACTGCTCCTCCTCCAGGGGAAGCTGAAGGACCAGCCTGGGGGAGAATAGCAACCTGGGTCTCTGCATCATGTTCTGGCCAAGAAGACATTTCACCTTGATTTTTTTAAAATCGACTCAAAGCCCAGTTCTGCATCTGAGTCCCAGAGAGCCAATCCCTTCATGCAAATGAACAGAGCAGATCATGGATGCCAAGCGGCCTCGGAGGCTGTCGCTCCCTCACTGAGGTGAACGCTGTGGGCCGAGACAAAGCCTCTCTCTCCGCTCCTCTCCTCTGATTTGAGAGAAAACACCCGATGTCACGGCGAACTCCTGTTCTTGGCACTTGGTGTCACTCTTGCTTCATCCTGACTCAGCTCAAAGCCTTCAGACTAGTGGCCATCATTACAGAGGAGACAGCTCTGTCCTCAATCCCACACTCACTGCACACACACACACACACACACACACACACACACACACACGCCAGGGCCTAGCCCAGCTCTCCCGGAGGAAGGGGAAGTGTCCGGGTAGAAGGATGACAGGAGTGCCACACATCGAATGGCAGGAGGAAGGGCCTCATCTTCCCTGAGCAAGGCCTGGGTGGAGCCTGGGCTCCTGGAATTGTTGGTGGTTGACTTCACCACCATTTTCTTAAAAGTCAGAATTGCTCACAAGGCAATCTCATAGCACAAACACTCACACCCAAACACTAAGAGTCACCTGACATCAAATTGACAAATTCTGGTGATGGAAACATAGAAACTATCCATTTATAGCTGCAAGGTTTGCTGTGAGTCTCCTTTTCAACACTTGCTTACCAAGCCTTTGTCAATCTCCAGTGCAGGAGAGCACATTTTTTCTACTAAGAACACCTTGGGCAACCATATGAATGTTATAGTCCCTTGTAGTTAGTCTAATAATTAGCATAACTAAGCTCCTCCTCCTGTCATGCTCCACGGACACTGCCCCACCTTCCCAATCCCTCCCGGCCTCTGCTGTTCCCTTTCCTCACTCAACAAGGATTTAATGAGCTCCCACCAGGCTCTGGGCTCACTCCGGAGTCTCCTTCTGCAAACCCCTCCCTCTACATTGCCTCTAGAACAGTGGTTCTCAACCTTCCTAATGCCGCGACCCTTTAATACAGTTCCTCATGTTGTGGTGACCCCCAATTTCATTGTTACAAATTGAACATAATTAAAGCATAGCGATTAATCACAAAAACAATATGTAATTATATATGTGTTTTCTGATGGTCTTAGGCGACCCCTGTGAAAGGGTCGTTCGACCCCCAAAGGGGTCGCGACCCACAGGTTGAGAACCTCTGCTCTAGAACATGTCTCTGTCCTTGAGGTTCTCCTGTGGGTGACTAATCCTCATGGACATAGTGGTTCCTCCTCTGGGCACAGAGACCTAACATCCTTCCACCCAAAATCCAACTCCTTTCCCACCCACAAGGCCAGGTGCGTCAGGGTGAAGTCTGACAGCCCCAATAGCACAGGCTTAGTGAAGAGCCATTAGCCAGGAAGAGCTGTGTGCAAAAGGCCGCCTGCCTAAGCCACAGCTGTTCTTCAACCAGCTGCTGCCCACTGCACCAGCCTACTTAGCACAACAATATCTAGGTTATGGGCTCCTGGTCAACTGATGCTCCCTGATCCCTGGCATGGAACTGGCTGTCCGGAGCAAGAGGTCTCCGGGAAGGTGGAGCTTCCATCTGCCCTCCTGTCAGAATTCTGACGCCTGACACACCAGGGAGCAGAGGTCACCGCTTCCCTGCAGCCTCATCTTTGAAAACATCTTGTAAACATGCATCAGAGGAAGAAATCTTCATTCTACCTCTTATTAGTTCCTGGACCTGCAAAGTTCCAGCCCGACAAGTCATGCTGGAGATGACAGAGGGCTCCTGTGAGGAGACTCAAGTGGCTGAACTACCGCTTATCCTACTTCTGGAGATAAGAGTGTGGATGCCAAGGTCAGGAACAACATAGTGCCATGGGCACTGTGTCAACAGCATCTCTGTCGGGAAGCCCTGGCCTGGGGCTTTGTGAACTGCCCCAGGGGAGTGGCCAGTCAGGCTGCATTCTTCCTGAAGTCATTCAAAGCGCTGTACGACCATCAAAAAGGGCTCCTGTCGTGAGGGGCACACTAGAGCAGCTTGACTGCTCTACATGTGGAATCGACATCAAGAGATTTCAGAAGCATAATTTTTTGGAACTTGGGCAGCTGGTGATCGTCGGTCCTGGCGCCCGCAAAACAACAACAACAACAAAGTACTGTATGACCATGATCTTGATCTTACCAACATCTAAGGAAGGGAAAAAAGGAATGGGCAGAAGTCTTCTGGTTTTAATTAAAAAACAAAAAACAAAAAACAACAATGGGGAGGAGGAGCCTTTAGGTGAACTAGCCAGAAAGTCAATAAAGAAGCATAAACCCACCCTAGCTGGTTTGGCTCCGTGGATACAGCGTCGGCCTGCGGACTGAAGGGTCCCAGGTTTGATTCCAGACAAGGGCACGTGTCTGGGTTGTGGGCTCAATCCCCAGTAGGGGGTGTGCAGGAGGCAGCCGATCCATGATTCTCTCTCATAACTGATGTTTCTCTCTTTCTCTCCCTCTCCCTTCCTTTCTGAAATCAATGTATTAAAAAAGAAAAAAAAAAAAGAGCACATACTTGGTTGTAGGCTTAATCCCCCACCCTGGTTTGGCATGGGTGGGAGGCAACCAATCAATGTTTCTCTCTCTCTCTGTCTCTCCCCCTCCCTTCCACTCTCTCTAAAAATTAATGCAAAATCCTTGGGTAAGGATTAACAATAACAAAAGAAGCACAGACTCTAAAACCCTGACCCAGACCCCATGGCCATAGCAAATCAGACAGATGGGTGATTTTGTATGTGTGTGTTCAGACTGAATTCAAGGCTGAACTGACCCCTCTTGAAAGGATACCAAGATGCAAATCCCCTGCCTTGACTTACCCAAACTTTGTAAATAACAGAGACACTCACTAAAGAAATTAGAAGACAAAATAGCTAAGTGGTTTGAGAAGGCGTGGCTAGAAGCATGTTTTCCCTAAAGCCATATGTGTAGACAGTCAAAAATACGAGTTTAATGAGCTTATAAATTTGGAGTGACTCTTCACATCTCACAGAGTCTGGGATTAAACTATTTCACCTCTGAAATCAAAGAGGCTGCCACTGGACCCTCATCCCTGAACACTTCTTCCAGAGGCCGCTCCATGCAATTCTTCCTCAGTTTACCCTTCTGCCCAGGTAACTGACCCAAACAATTCAGCCCCCAGTGTTTTGTAGAGGGAGATCACAACTTCTGATATTCAAAGATGTCTTCTGATGTTTGATCTCTTTCCTTTCCTCTTTAGTTGCTCCCTAAATACTGCTTACTCCCTTTAGGAACCTGCATGCTTCTTCTAAGAGATGGGTACCTGTCCCGGTTAATTCCTACAAATTCACAAGGTTCTCTCGTGCTAAGTTCAAAGCACTCTAATCTCAGTAGTCACTGTTTGCTGTAGTGCTGTTCTAGCCTTTTCTGTTACAGTATTTCTCAACCTTAACTTAACTGAACTTAAAAGACATTGTACGTGTAGCATAGTTTGGCAAGCTAATAATGTAAACAGCGTGTTGCTGACAGGCTAAGTCCAACGCAGGAAGCCATGCAGTCAGCAGTGTTGTCTCGCAGGTGACAACTCCCACGCAGCCGCACGGGCCCCTGTGAGGCACACGTGGTGACCTCATTCACGTAGGGCTGGGCCACTCTGGCTGGATCTGCAGGCGCCCGCTCGCCCTTTCCAGTCTGTTTGTCCTTTAGAACTAATATTTGGGGTGTCACCCCAATATTTTATTCTCTTTCTGATCCAGGCCAGCCGGGAGACTAAGGCAGAGCAAGCCTGCAGTTGGACACGTTGTCGCCACTTTTCCAGAGCCCTGCGCTAGCCTTGCTCACGTTCAGGGCTATGCGTGATCTTGCCGTCCCACACCATGGAGCTATCTATTAATTAAACAGACAGACAACCTTCTGACCAGGGCAACTACCTATACGCTGATGTAAGCCCTTGGTTCCATTCCTTTCTCTCCAAGAAGGGACTATTTTGAGGGAATTTCTCACTGGCAATAACATAGCAGTGTTCTCCTCAAACCCCAAAACACTCACTGAGTCTTTCATCTGCAGCCACCCCCGGATAGCCCACGCCTCTGGCATCTGCCTCAAAATGCCTGAGCCTCCCATGTGAGCTTGACTCTCAGATTTGTCATTCTCATGGGTTGTCCTGGGCTTCTGATGACACAACCAGGACGAAAGAGAAACCCTAATCCTGTGTATGCTGGTTGACGGCGAAAACTTTCAGATAAAGGGATCTTGGGGAAACCATTACAACATCTAAAGAATTCCTGGTGCAAAAGTTCCCAGCGCCACTGTCCCACCCCAAACCAGTTGGAGACACAGACCCGCCCTTCTCCAGGCTGCTTTAGATAGGCATCAACAGTCTGTGCTCTCTCCCTCCCAACTGAATCCGTGCCCAACTGGTATGTCCCAGGGCTCCTCAGAGACACCACCAAGTAGAAGTCCTTCCTAGGAGGTGACAGTGCCCTTCAGAAAGCCTGGCATCACCCTGAGAGTGTCTCCCCAGTGCCGCTGCCTTTGGCAGGTACAGAGGGAGGGTGCAGGAAGCAGGGGTGTCCCTGGAGGTAGCAGCCCAGGTCTGAAAGAGTAACAGTGCCCGGCGGGCAAGGAAAGGCCTGAGAAATGAAGGCGCTGCCTGCCACGTTGCTGCACAGGTCTGAGCTGGAAGACTGAGCAAGAAACTAAATGATGAAACAGAAACACATTCTCAGTGGTGATCAAACTCCCAGATTAGGTCGGTTTGCTCTCTTTAAAAAAAAATGCATCTCTGTAGCATCGGTTTTCCTCTGGGCATGGGAAACTTGCGCTTTCTCTTTCTCCCTCCTCTTCCAGAGGCAAGAGGAGGGAGAAGAAACAGGTTCTGATTCGATGCCAGGTTAGGTCGTGAGCGGATGGGCCGTCCTTACACACATCAAATCTAACCGATAACTATGGTGATCTGACATTCAGTGAGTGTTTTGAACAAGGAGCCGTGGCAGTGAGGAGCTGTGAGGAGTCTGTGCCTTCAGGGGCTTTTGTGGGGGCTAATCAGGCCAGCATGACTGCACCTGCCTTTATACACCTGCCCTTAGAAAAGTCTGCGCCAGGTCAGGTTTTCCTACATGGAAGCCTCAGCCCTTACTGACTCACCGGTAATCAGAGCCTTTATTTTCATGTAAGACTCATCTCCCACTGGTGACAGCTTTCAACAGTTAGCTTCCAGTTTTTCTGTCCTCTCTCCTATTTAAGTGCTCTAGGAGAGCTTCTTATTTATTTATTATTAATCCTCACCCAAGGATATTTTTCCATTGCTTTCAGATAGAGGGGAAGGGAGGAAGGGAGAGTGGGGAGAAAGAGAGAAACATGGATGCGAGAGAGACACATAGATTGGTTGCTTCCTGCATGCACCCCAACTAGGGCTGAGGATGGAGCCTGCAATCCAGATATGTGCCCTTGACTGGAATCAAACCTGGAACCCGTCAGTCTGCAGGCCGACGCTCCAACCACTGAACCAAACTGGCCAGGGCGAGCTTCATATTTAAATAAGCCCAAGGATGAATCTCCAACAAAGTGAAGACTATTTCTGTAAAATAAGGAAGTTTTCCCAAATTCGTTTGCCTCATCTGGGGCTGGCATAAATCTATTTTTTTTCTAGAAATGGTTTCCATTGTCACCGAAACTGAAAAAAAAGGTAAAAACCAATTTCTGTCTGACTGCATCAGAAATTCTCTAAGGTCCTACAAATACAAGTACCCGTTCCTGAAGGACTTGCATTGTAAGGGAAGACGAGGAAATGGGAAATGTTGACGAACGCAGGGAGCTCCGGGAACCAGCTCTGCTTCCCTGCCTGGGAAGGTCAGTCCTAAGGCGATAAGGCCTGTCGTTGCTGACAGGCCTGTCCATGGCCACACTTTCAGAACTGAGACGTGGTGCCAGGTATGGGCTGGCAAAGGAGCTGAGATTGTCTCAGAAACTGATGCCATGTGGCTGGCTCCGGGGACTCTCTGTCATGTCCATCAGTTCTCTCCCCAGATGCCTGGAGTTTATTACACTCATTAAAGCAGATGTTCAAACAGGCCTCCAAATGGACCTATCCACCATTTTCAGTTTTCCCACCAAATCAGCCTCCCCTTTTAAAAAGGATATGTCATACCCAGCCGAGGTGGCTCAGTGGTTGAGCATCGACCTATGAACCAGAAGGTCACAGTTCGATTCCCAGTCAGGGCACATGCCTAAATTGCAGGCTCGACGATCCCCGATTGTGCAGGAGGCAGCCAAACAATGATTCTCTCTCATCATTGATGTTTCTATTTCTCTCTCCCTCTCCCTTCCACTCTGAAATCAATAAAAATATATTTAAATAAATAAATAAATAAATAAAAAGGATATGTCAGCAATAGACATAACTTTGTCTACTGATTCAGGCAGGAGGTGTTATTGCTCTGATCAAACTGGCTCTTTTCAGATTAAAAAGTAATTATTCCAAAAGAAGAGTTTCTGGTTAAAATTAAACCACAGTCCAAGAGCTATTAGAACCTGGACTTTGGACAAATGCCAAAGAGACCAGTTCTGGGCCTCACCCTGAGAGGAAACAAAAGCGACTTACTAGAAGGAAGAAATCTTCAACAACTGATCACATAAAAAAATTAAGTAAGTCCTAGCTCCGTGGTCGGCAAACCGCGGCTCACGAGTCACATGCGGCTCTTTGGCCCCTTGAGTGTGGCTCTTCCACAAAATACCACGTGCGGGTGCACACATACAGTGCGATTGAAAGTTCGTGGCCCATGCATAGAAGTCGGTATTTTGTGGAAGAGCCACATTCAAGGGGCCAAAGAGCCGCATGTGCCTTACAAGCCGCGGTTTGCCGAGCCGCAGTTTGCCGACCACTGTCCTAGCTGGTTTGGCTCAGTGGATAGAGTGTCAGCCTATGGACTGAAGGGGCTGTGTTCTATTCCAGTCAAGGGCACATGCCTGGGTTGCGGGCTCAATCCCCAATGGGGGCGTGCAGGAGGCAGCCAATCAATGATTCTTTCTCATCATTGATGTTTCCATCTCTCTCCCTCTCCCTTCCTGGCTGAAATAAATTTTTAAAAAAATTAAGTAAAATGTTGGAACCTGTTCAACCACCCTACTTCAGTTAGAAGGCACTTTTTAACGACATTAGGAAAGCGAAACTAGCTGTGGGTGGGGTGGAAACGCTGCCAGGTCATCCTGCCTAGAGAAGCCTGACAATCGCGCCTACATGACCGACGTGCGGCGGCCGCAGCGGCGGCACCAGGTGGCCGCGAGGCCGAGGCGCGCGCTAGCAGCTTTTGTAGCTCCCCGCCCTGCGCCGCACCTATGTTTTGGTGATCACCAGCTCATCGCTTGAGCTGACTTGGGCTACCAGCCCTGATTTGTTGCTCCACAGCCTGATTAAGAAACAATCACCCAATACGGAGAAGAGGCCCAAGGGAGCTGAGAGCTTGCTGGGTCATGAGTCTCTGGCGGATGGGAGCGGGGAGGGAGGAGGCAGGACCCAAGAGGTCCTGTGAGGTGACTCTGAGGCCAGCCTCGCAGTGCCCTCTCCTGGAAAGCTGGGAGTTCTCCTGGGCTGGGCGGCTGCAGACAAACCCTGAGGTACACACGTGCGAGTCTTCCAAACAGGTGTGCCACTGCCCCCTATTGGACACATGCTTTTCAGCTTTACCAGACAGAGGGCTAAAGTGAAATATTAGTGATAAGCCCCACCAAGTGACCTCAGGCAAGGCACGGCCTTCTACGTCTCAGTGTCCACATCTATAACATGGGAGGGACGGTAAGAACATCTGTCCTTGCGTACCTCAAAGGGCTGTCATCAGGAGGAAATGAATGAAATAACTGCCTGCCTTCCTACCTCCTGCCTTCACATAATCCAGGTCACTTTCCTGAGTCTTTCTCTCCAGTGTCTCTGAACTACGGAGCAAATTATAAAAAATATATAATCAGCTGAAACCGGTTTGGCTCAGTGGATAGAGCGTCGGCCTGCGGACTGAAAGGTCCCAGGTTCGATTCCGGTCAAGGGCATGTACCTGGGTTGTGGGCACATCCCCAGTGGGAGATGTGCAGGAGGCAGCTGGTCGATGTTTCTCTCTCATCGATGTTTCTAACTCTCTCTCTCTCTCCCTTCCTCTCTGTAAAAAATCAATAAAATATATTAAAAAAAATATATATAATCATGTTATTCTGAGCCTTAAAAGCTAGTGGCTTCTCCACTTCTATTAGCTTTACACACAATTTTCAAAGCATTTTTTCTATAAGCATTTATCATAATTTAAATCCATTTTCTGGCAACGATATGTTCAGTGGCTAAATCCCTCACTAGATTATGTGGGGACCTGTACTAGTGTGTCCTCTGTCAGCATTTCATTCCCAGTACCTACCCAACCTGGTGCCGATTGCACAGTAAATGCTTGATAATTATCTGTTGAATAAGCACCTGGATGAATCATAGGAACTGGGGAAGGCCAGCCAGAAACAGAAAGGGCAAAGTCAGATATGGCGGGGAACCCTTTCTCAAGAGCAGCAACACAAACTAATATTAAAAATAAAAGGGCCGGGTGATGAAAAGATTGGAAACTAGACAGAGATGGTGGTTGCACAACAGTGTGAATGCACTAAATGCCACTGGATTGTACACTTTAAAATGGTTAATTATATGTTTTGTGAATTTCACCTCAATCATAAAAAAATGAAAGGACAGAATTGTAATATACTCGTTATGATCTGTGATGATTTAGACACTCTACAAATACGGGATGAAGTCAACTTTTTACCATGCTTGATGGTTTACATAAATGATTTCATTTGCTCCTCCCAACATGGACTTGCCCACAAGGAGAATGAGGAGCGCAGATGTTCATTTAGTGACTTCCTATTCCTCCAACAGGCCAGGCACACCTGCCACTCGGGCTCTGTCCCTGCTGCCTTCCTGCCTGGAAAGGATTTCCCCCAAACAGCTGCCTCTCCCTCCCCTCCTTGGGGGCCCTGCTTTGAGTCACCTCATCAGAAAGGCTCTCCCCAACTCCCCCACTTAAAAGGGCACGCACACCGCCATACCCTCTTCCTTGCCCTGCTTGCCTTTCCTTCAAAATTCTTAGCTCACATTACATATCGTCCTCACTTTTCTGTCTCCTTCCACAATAGCATAAACTTCAAGAGATCAGGGAGCTTTGTCAGTTTGTTCTCTGTTAAAATCCTGACATCTGGAATAGTGCCTGGAAAATAGCAGGTGCTTACTAAATATCTGTTAAGTGAATAAGTAGTAGAATTTTACCATGAACTTGGCTGGATCTTCTTGGGCCACACCACAAAAATAAAATTACAATGTGACCGAGATAAAATACCAGTTGTTAATGTACTGTAACAAAGGGTACCTTGTTCACAAATCAGTCCCTGCACGCTCTTGTCCTCAGGGCAGGGCACCTGACTGTTGTGTCCCTGGCTCTCAGCACGGTTTTGATCACGTAGTATTAGGCATTTGTCTATATATCAATAAGAAACAATGGGTTCTGAGCAATACAGACACGAACAGAATCGGCCACGACACACGTCCAGGTCCCACCCTAGGCATGCACATTGGGGGTGGGGCGTCTCTGAGGAGGAGGAGGAGGAGGAGGAGGAGGAAGGAGAATGTGCTGGGCAAGGGTCAGAGTCCAAGCAGCAGAGTGTGGCCTCGCAAGCCCATGTATTCTACGTAGAAATGGCTCTGCACTGTGAACCTTAGACAATTATTTCTAACTCCCAGGAAAAAGCGGGCAGGGCTGGCTCATGAGAGTTGGGTCAGTGTGATCTGGCAGGATGAACACTCTTACAAGGTGGACAGTGAGCTTCTGAGACGAGTGGCCATCCCATAATAGTGCCCAGTGGCTTCTAAGAAATTTGTGCCCAGCAGCAGCCACCACCTTCCTCCAGCTCCTAAATCAGGGGCCAGGCATGATGGGAAACTGGTGTCACACAAGAACCTAGAGTAGGTGTCAAACTCCTGAAACTCACTTTCTTTCTTCCTTCCTTCCTTTCTTCCTTCCTTCCTTCCTTCCTTCCTTCCTTCCTTCCTTCCTTCCTTCCTCCCTCCCTCCCTCCCTCCCTTCTTTCTCTTTCTTTCTCTCTCTCTCTCTCTCTCTCTCTCTCTCTCTCTCTCTCTCTCTCTTATCCTCACCTGAGGATATGTGTTGTTGTTTTTTATTAATTTTTTAGAGAGAGGGTAAGGGAAAGAGAGAGAGGGAAACATTGATGCGGGAGAGAAACATCGATTGGTTGCCTCTCACAACCTAGGTATATGTCCTGACAAGGAACTGAACCCGCGACCTTTCAGCGTACAGGATGACACTACAACCAACTAAGCCACGCTGGCCAGGACATCAGCTCTATCTCTTACACCTGTTGGAACCTGTGTCTCTAAATGCAATTTATAATAAATTCCGTTATTTGGCCAACCTGACCACTGACACCATGGGGGACTGTTATGTCTGAAATGTAACAAAATATTTAATATGAACAAATGCCTATTTCCCATCCTGTGCCTCACATTTTAACTTAATGGTACAGAAACAGGTTTTCAACATTTGATAAATCACAAAACTTTTTTAAAATTTATTTTTAAAATATATTTTATTGATTTTTTTATAGAGAGGAAGGGAGAGGGATAGAGAGTTAGAAACATCAATGAGAGAGAAATATCAATCAGCTGCCTCCTGCACACCCCCCACTGGGGATGTGCCCGCAACCAAGGTATATGCCCTTGACCGGAATCGAATCTGGGACCCTTCAGTCCGCAGGCCGACGCTTTATCCACTGAGCCAAACCGGTTAGGGCTAAATCACAACTTTTAAAAAAATGTTCTGAAACGGAATTTCTGCAGAAAATTTCAAGCTATATAAGCTATAGTACACACACACACATGCACACGTATTTTCCCTAAAAGCTTCCTCATAATACACCCAAAGTACACAACTCAAAATTCAAGCCAATGACTTATTACAAAACAAATTAAACAGAAAAACATCACAGCATAATTTGTACAGCTGCCACTACTTTTGCCATTTTCCATGGTAAGACTGATGGTTCATTTTAATCGGTGCTGGTTTCAGGAACTAAGACATTCACCTTTGTCCTGCACTACCGCACATAAGCCTGCTCCCTGTGGGCACTCAAGCATGGGTAGGTATGTAGTTTTTTTCAATTCCCACAGCATTTAGAAAAAGACAAACAAAACAAAACACACAGTTTTTATCTTATACTGCATTCCCTAAGCTCAAAAAGAATATTTAGCCCTGGCTGGTTTGGCAATGGATAGAGTGTTGGCCTGCGGACTGAATGGTCCCAGGTTTGATTCCAGCCAAGGGCACATGCCCAGGTTGTGGGCTCGATCCCCAATGGGGAGGCATGCAGGAGGCAGCCGATTAATGATTCTCTCTCATCATTGATGTTTCTATCTCTCTCTTCCTCTCACTACCTCTCTGAACTCAATAAAAATATACTTAAAAAACAACAACTCTTTTAGCCATCAGTAGAGGCCTGGGCTTGACACGAGAATAAATGCACAAGCACAGCTTGGCATCAACTGGACCAGCTTGTCACCAAGAGATGCAAACCCGGGTACCTGTGGAGGTGGGCAGGGACCCTAGGCATGCTGGTGGGCTCTGGCCAACTGGGAGCACAGGTCCCCGCTGTAGGAAACCCGGAGAGGCAACAAGGGTTGCAATATGGGGCCGGTGTGGCCCGACCTCCCTGCTTTTTAAGAAAGCCAGAAACCCATGTTTTAATGTGAATTTGTAGATGTTTAAATGTTAGCAATTAATTCTAAAAACTGTTTAAAATTTCCTATGGGCCATGTACACCTGAAACTAATCTATAATAATAAAAGTGTAATATGCTAATTAGACCAGACGTCCTTTCGGACAACCTTCAGGATGAAGCTGGGGCTGTGAGGGAAGCCCGGGTCCCAGGTGCCTGCCGGCGGCCGGCCAGAGGGAAGCCTGGGTGCCAGGTGCCAGAGGGAAGCCAGTGCCGGCAGACGGGGGAAGGAAGGCCTACTCTTGCATGAATTTCATGCATTGGGCCTCTAGTATGAAATAATATTGAATATCAATTGTAATTTTAAAAAGAAAAAAAACAACCCTTACTGGTTTGGCTCAGTTAGTTGAGTATCTATCATCTTATGTACCAAAAGGTCACTGGTTTGATTCCTGATCAGGGCACATGCCTAGGTTGCAGGCTCAATCCCCAGTTGGGGGCATGCAGGAGGCAGCTGATCAATTTCTCTCTCTCTCTCTATCCCCCCCCACCCCCTCTCCTTCTTCTTTCCTTTCTCTCTAAAAAAAGAAGAAAGAAAAAGGAAAAAGAACAACTCTATGGACCAAACACAACACATCTGTATTCTGATGGCACCCAGGCAGCCTGTGTGTGAGCTCTGGGAAGTAGGAGGTGCTTCCAGAGGGATCCAGGCCTGAATCTGCCATCTGTTAACTGCTTCTCAGGGTGGCCACTTCACCTCCCAGTCACTTGGCACTGAAACCCAGTCAGCTGCAGAAGCCACTGAGTAGCGGCTAAGGGTGCCGGTTCCCTTGGGTTCATATCCTGACTACCATCACAACATACCTGCCTTGTCACTCTGATTGACCACTCTGGGCTCCAACTTCCTCATCTATAAAATCTGGATAATCATACAAGCCCTCCCATAAGGCTATTATGGGATTAAATGATACACTGCGTGCGAAGCGCCTAACTGCAGAGTAAGGTTGAAGATATAGAGCAACTACTATTATCTCTAAGCTTGGTGCCTCCCTCCTCACCATCCGTTCAGAGTCAGGAAATCCTGCTAAATAGGACATCTAAAACCCTCTCCAATCTATCCTCTCTTCATTTCCATTTGTCTGCCTTAGTTCATAGCCTCATGCTCTCTGCCCTATTCATTAGGAGCTAATAATTGCACCTCCTGATTTACTGAGCACCTCTCTGTGCCAGACAGAGCACCACTCGGTGGCCCCCTCTGACCCACTCCCACGCTGTCCCCAGTTGATTTAGATCTCTCGGCTTGGAACTTTATGTAAAGCAAAGATCTGATGCTTTACATAAATGCTGTCATTCTCTCTGTCCCTACAGAACAAAGGCTAACTTCCTTCATCCTGTATCAAGGCTGTCCCTAGGCTCTGCCCGAGCTCACATCCTACAGTCTCTAGAACACCCTCTTTACTCCTTTTCCTGAATGAGCCATGCAGGTTCCGGTCACTGTACCTTGGCAACACTATTCTTTCTGCTTAGAATGTGTCCTTTTCTCACCCATTGTTACCTTCTCACCCTTTTAAGTCCAGCCTAAAATGGTTATCTCCACAAAGCCTTCCCTGATCACCTCCCTGACTAGCCCCCCTGGGGTCGGGCCTTCCCTTCTCCGTGGTTCCCACCATACCTGGTGCATAGCTCCCTGCTAACCCATCTCACAATGCATGGTGATCTACTTGTTGAGACATCTGTCTCAACATGAGAAAGGAGGCCAAGGGTAAGGCCTAGCCCTGCACTTTGGCTGCCTTCCCAGCTGGCACATAGTGCATGTTCAGTATTTGCTGAATGAATGACTGGGACAGACTAAGAGGACATTTTAATAAAACCAAACAATAATGTCACTTTAAACACATCCTGTTGCAAGAAACAGGGATTTGGGAGAATGTGCAAAGAAAAAGTAGGATAATAAACATGTTAAAAAATCACTCAGGAGCCCTCAATTCTCTGAACTGTGTGCATTTTGGTTAATTCTAGTCAAAAGGGATATGATAAAGTACTAGCCACCTGGGTGAGGGAAAATGTCTATACCTATAAGGCGGCTGCCATTTCCCACAGGTTCTTGATCTTCACTTTTTCTTTCTGCAGCTTCAGTGAAATGCATCCGTTATCCCAAGAGAAAATGTAATGCAGCCAAAGAAAAAGTCTGGTTGTTTGGTTCATAATGTATATACTGTGCAGTGCAATCTGAGACCCACACAACAGAAAAGTGTCCATCTTGGCCTCATGCATGTGCAGGCCTCTTCTACGAGAGGCAACAAGTTCTCGGTGCTCAGAGAACCCCACCAGAGGAGGCTAGGAGTGGATGATCTCGGGAAGGCAGAGATCTGGGGAAAAAATAAACATCATTGTTTTTTGGCATTTATGGTCCTAAAAACTTGCCACTGAAGCACTCATTCAACAAGCACTCACTGAATGAATGGGAGGGATGCTGCAGCCTCATTCCCTGCCCCCGGCTCAGAGCCCTGGCTTTGGCAGGTTACAAAACCTACAAAACCGACGTGGTCATCTAGCAGAGTGTGGCTCTGGGGTCAGGCTGCCTGGGCTCAAGCCTGGCCCTTGCAGTTTCTAGTTGGGACAGTTGATAGAGTAAGAGTTCCTACCTCAGAGTTGCTGGGCAGCTTAAATGCTAGAGAACGTGTACAGTGCTTAGCATAATGCCTGTGAAATTATTCTGATTATTATAAATTCAGTAAGTGTTGGCTATCATCATCTGTCAAAGAGCTCCTACTACGAGAGTTGAGCCTTCTTTAGCTTCTCTTTCCAACTCTGCCCATACCCAATATCTCTACTTTATTGTCCAACTATGGGATTAGAGTTCCTTGAGAATGGAAGAAAGCACAAGCTATAAACTTCACATCAATAAATAAGCAGTCCGGTCGTGGTGGCTCAGTGGTTGAGCATCGACCTATGAACCAAAAGGTCAGGGTTTGATTCCCAGTTGGGGCACATGCCCAGGTTGCAGGCTCGATCATCAGTAGGGGGCGTGCAGGAGGCAGCCCATCAATGATTCTCTCTCATCATTGATATTTCTCTCCCTCTCCCTTCCTCTATGAAATCAATAAAAACATATTTAAAATAAATAAAATAAATAAACAAAAATATAGAGACAAATAGAAGAAAACAGGCCACATATACAGAACACCTGGTCATGTACAATAGCTCAAGCATAAAAATAGATCTGGACTCTCAATGGCCATGCTTGAAGGGACAAAACAAAGGGGCATGCCTTCAAACTGCTGAGGGGAATTCTGTACCTCACCCGAGGATATTTTTCCATTGATTTTTAGAGAGTGAAAGAATAGGGGGGAAAATAATAATAATAAAATAAAAAATAAAAAATAAAAATAAAATTAAAAAAAAGAATAGGGAAAGACAGAGAAATATCAAATTGGTTGGCTTTGGTTGCCTCCTGCAAGAGACCCGACCAGGGCCCTGGCCTGCAACTGAGGTACATGCCCTTGACTGTAATCGAACTTGGGACCCTTTGGTCTGCAGGCTAACGCTCTACCCACTGAGCCAAACCAGCTAGGGCTGGAATAGAGACTTTTTAGGCATTTGAGGCTTCAAAAAGTTTGAGATAATCTAAGAACAGGGTAAATTATTACAGCAATTCCTCAACAGGTGTTTAATAGTATTGAGCCAGGTAAAATCACTGAACCTGACGGATTGTTTCATACCACAAATATATCTGAGTGCCTGCTATATGTGGGTTGGACAGCGACTGAGCCAGGTAACCCAGCAGACACACACTGATTCCCTCATGGAGCTTACATTCTAGTGGAGAAGAGAGATAATAAACTGCAGGAGGAAAACCCTGCGGCAGGGAGTGATGAGTGCTACAGAGAAAGAGAAGCCAGGGCCCACACCCTAACTTCCAGTGTACAGAGACTACAGCAGATAGAAGCATGGGCTAATTAGATAAATCCATCTGGACACAATTAGATAATTCCAGAATGTTGGACATGTATAAGAATACAGGCTTAAAATTTTTAAAATATCAGCCCTAGCTGGTTTGGCTCAGCGGATGGAGTGTCGGCCTGCGGACTGAAGGGTCCCAGGTTCGATTCCGGTCAAGGGCATGTACCTGGGTTGCGGGCACATCCCCAGTGGGAGGCGTGCAAGAGGCAGCTGAATCGATGTTTCTGACTCTCTCTCCCTCTCCCTCTCCCTTCCTCTCTGTAAAAAATCAATAAAATGTGTTTAAAAAATAAAATTTTAAAATATCAAAGTTGTTAAAACCAAATAAAAGGGAGACTAATGTAGACTAAAAGAGTTAACAATCATACTGAAAATATGAGTCCTGATTGGATCTTGAGCCAAGGAAAAAAGTTATAAAAGATGTTTTGGGGCCCTAACCAGTTTGGCTCAGTGGATAGAGCGTTGGCCTGCGGACTGAAGGGTCCCGGGTTCGATTCCAGTCAAGGGCATGTACCTTGGTTGCCGGCACATCCCCAGTAGGGGGCGTGCAGGAGGCAGCCGATCGATGTTTCTCTCTCATTGATGTTTCTAACTCTCTATCCCTCTCCTTTCCTCTCTGTAAAAAAATCAATAAAATATATTTTTTTAAAAAAAGATGTTTTGGGGACAAGAAAGGATATTTGAATATAAACTGAATATTAGATAATATAAGAGAATTGTTTATAATCTATTAAATTTAAAAAATTTTTAAAATTAAATTTATTTAGGTATTATTGATATGCAGAAGAATATCTACATTCTTAGGAGGTATGTGAGGAAATAAACAGACATAAAGTAAATAGAGCAAAGTTATCAACTGTTGAATATAGGTAGAGAATACTTAGTTGTTCATTGCTCTAATCTTTCAACTTTTCTGTGTATATTAAAATGTCCAATGTAAAAAGTTAGATAGAAAGGAATAGAGGAGAATACTTAGAAAAAATAAGCATGACAACTATTTGGAGGAATTCTGCTGTAAAGGGAGGATCTTAGTTTCTTACAACTGTTTAACAAATGACCACCAATCGGGTGGCTGAAAAGAACAGAAAGGTATTTTCTCAGAGTTCTGGAGGCCAGACATCCAAAAATCAAGATATTGGCGGAGGCCACACTCCCTACAGAGGCTCTCGGAAAGAATCCATTCTTTGCCCTTGCAATTTCTGGTGGCTGTCAACTTTCCTAGACTTGTGGCTGGATCATTCCTGCCTCTGCCTCTGGGGTCACACTGCCTCCTCCTCTTCTGTGTATGTCTGATCTCCTTTGGTCCGTCTCTCTCAGATAAGGACACTTGTGAAGGCATTTAGGGCTCACCCAGGTTATCCAAAATAAGCTCCTCCTCTCAAGATCTTTAATTTGATCACATCTTTTGCTAAATTAGGTTATATTCACAGGTCCTGGGATTAGAAAGTGAATATATCTTTGGAAGGCCACTTTTTTGCCTACCACAGGGAGCAAGAAAATAGGGCAGTATGTAGAGGGGAATGTGGGGTCAAGAGAGATTTTCAGTTTTTTAAAAATGAGAGAAGTTACATGTGTATAGTAATATTTAGTAGAGTTTGTTGTACACTATAGTAGTAGTGCAGTAGTACAGTGTATTTATTCATTGTGTTAGCCACTTTAACACAGAAAAATTCATAAAGTTACCTTCATGATGAAAAAGAGGGTTACTCTTCAGAATTCAATTAAGAAAAATCAAAATATAATGGAGGAGACATTCTGTCAAACGTGGAAGATTGAACACACAATGTTTATCTCCAAAACCACCAGATGAAAATAAATAAACAAATATGGTATAAAACTATAAAGACAAAGAGGACAGGAGAGCAGACAACAGCGAATCAGAGAGGTCAAAACATTTTAAGAGATGAAGTGGGAACTCAGCAGAGTGCAGGAAGCTGGGACTTGAATGCTCAGAGAGGAGAGTATAAACAAGAAGATTAATATGTTCACTGTATTTATCCCTCCAAAACTTTAGAACCTGGAGGTGGAAGGAGAAAGGCATGTAGCTGAAAACAGGGAAATTGTTTAAAAGTATGTATATAAAGCAGTTAAACTCACATATCCCCTCTCCAACCCTTTTTAGCCTGGTAACAACCCCTGCAGGATACCAGAGGGAGAAATTGAATCTGCAAAACATCATCTCAGGGACACCAGGCACAGCTGAAGGCAGTAGTGAGCACTGAGCTGAAAACAAAAAGACTGGGTGAAAACACGCATGCGAAATGTTGGATCCACAGCTCTATTCCCCCTACTCTGATACTAGAACCTCAACAGTGGTGGCCATGCAAATATTCCCCAGATAGAGGCTGGAGAATTCTTCTCTGGAGAAACTGTATCGGCCCTGCAATGTGACCTATAGAACCTGACATTTGAGGGTACCTAATAAAAACACTCTGCTTACTCTAGTCACCTTAGAACGAAAGCCATCAATTAGCAAGCCCCATCTGTGCACAAAGAGTTTCCAATGAACTCTGCTTATTGCCTTATTCTTAAATACAAATAATCAAAGATCCAACATTTGAGGAAAACCTTCAAGAACAATAACACACATACACTAGTACACCAGATAATGGGGGAGTTCAGAGGAAACAATATGAAAAGCAGAAGAAAACTTAAAAATAGGAAAATTCCTTGGAAAGATAAGAAAACATGAAATAAAACAGAAATAATATATATTATATATCATATATATATATATGAAGCAACCAGTGAACAAGAGAGTTAAAATTAAACATTCGATAGAAAGGATAAGAAGATAAAATGGAACTGTCCTCCAGAGAATAAACAGAAAGAGAGGGACAAAAGTAGAAAAAAGTAAGAGCTATAATTCAGGCTCCAATATCCTGTAGTAGAGCCACAGAAATTGGGATAAAAGTGCAGACTGAACTATGGAGTGGTAGAAAACAGGTATTTTACATAAGGGGGAAAACATAGAAGAAAAATAAAAAGAGGAACAAAACTACATTTATAAACAGCAACACTTGGAAATTAGAGGACAGTGGGGCAACGCCGTTAAAATTCCAAGGGAAAAGTATTTCTAACCTAGAATTCCATACCCAGCTAAACTATGAGCGAAGAGTCAACATTTTCAGACAGATAAGTTGTCACAAAGTTTACCTCCTATGGTCACTTTCTCTGGAAGCTATTAGATGAGGTGGTTGACCAAAATAATCCTGTAAAACAAGAAAGAGGAAGAAGGTTTAAGATCCAGGCAGTAGGAGATTCAACACAGAACAGAGAGAATTTTTTTTATAGCTTACTTTTATTTTTATTATTATTTGTACTTTTTATTACTATTTTTTAATCCTCACCTGAGGATATTTTTCCTTTTTTTTTTTTTTTTTTAAGAGAGAGGGAAAGACAGAGAGAAATATTGATGTGAGAGAAACACATCGATTGGTTGCCTCCCACATGTGCCCAGACCCGGTAGGAGCCTGCAACCAAGGCATAAGCCCTTGACCTGAATCTAACCTGGGACCCTTCAGTCTTCAGGCCAATGCTCCAAACACTGAGCCAGACTGGCAAGGGTGATTTTTTTAAATTATTTTTAAATTTCATTTTGTTTTGTTTTTTCCACCACCATTTATCCCCGCTATACATGCTTCCACCTCTCCACCTGTCTCCCCACAAGAGAAGTCTTAAGAAGGTCAGGAAAGCAGCTATGGAGCAAGCCTAGGACGCAACCACTCTACATTAAACCCAAAGGATGAAGGACTCCAAAAAAGAAAATTCCAGTGGACAAAACTGAATTGATACATTATCTGTTAGGTTTGACCATATAAACGAAAATATTGCATGGGGTGTACATATCTTTTGGAGACTGGGGAAAATTAGTAAAGGGCATGTAGGAAACTTAACAATTAAAAAACATTATCAAGCCCTGACCGGTTTGGCTCAGTGCATAGAGCGTTGGCCTGCGGACTCAAGGGTCCCAGGTTCGATTCCGGTCAAGGGCATGTGCCTTGGTTGCAGGCACCTCCCCAGTGGGGAGTGTGCAGGAGGCAGCTGATCGGTGTTTCTCTCATCGATGTTTCTAACTCTCTATCCCTCTCCCTTCCTCTCTGTAAAAAATCAATAAAATATATTTAAAAAAAAAAAAAACATTATCAAAACGACAATGCGTTATCATCTCACACCTGTCAGAATGGCTATCATCAACAAATCAACAAACAACAAGTGTTGGAGAGGATGTGGAGAAAAAGGAACCCTTCTGCACTGCTGGTGGGAATGCAGACTGGTGCAGCCACTGTGGAGAACAGTATGGAGCTACCTCAGAAGACTAAAAATGGAACTCCCATTTGACCCAGTGATCCCACTACTAGGAATATATCCCAAGAAACCAGAAACGCCAATCAGAAAGGACATATGCACCCCTATGTTCATAGCAGCACAATTCACCATAGCTAAGATTTGGAAACAGCCTAGGTGCCCATCAGCAGATGAGTGGATTAGAAAACTGTGGTACATATACACAATGGAATACTATGCTGTGGTAAAAAAAAAAGGAACTCTTGCCTTTTGCAACAGCATGGATGGAACTGGAGAGCATTATGCTAAGTGAAATAAGCCAGTCAGAGAAATATAAATACCACATGATCTCACTCATTTGTGGATTATAGAGAACAACATAGACTGATGAAAAGGGACAGACCCAAAGACTGAGAAACAGCGATCAGGCTATCAATCCCCAGAAGGAAAGTAGGGGAGGGCGGGGGTAAGGGGAAGAGATCAACCGAAGGACTTGTATACATGTATATAAGCCAAACCAATGGACATGGACAAAGGGGGTAATGGGAGCATGAGTTTGTGTGGGGGGGGGAGGTTGGGGGTTAGTGGGGGGGATGAGGACACATTTGTAATACCTTAACTAATAAAAAAAAAAACAAAAAACATGAGGCTATTATAAATTTGTATTATGATATCTGTGTTATGTTATATGAAGTTTCTACTCCTTAGATATTTTATAGACTTTTAAAAGTACCTGGAGAAAAATGGGTTACGTATTCCTTTCGTCCTAACTATCCATGATTGTTGTCCTATCCAAGAGACAACAGATGTAAGAGCCTAAATCTTGACATTGATGTCTTGACAGTAGGCACTGGGGGAGTCTTCTCTCTTCCCTGGAATGAGAGTAGACAATGGGTGGCATGTGGAAGACGTTTATTTTATTTTTTTAATATATATTTTATTGATTTTTTACAGAGAGGAAGGGAGAGGGATAGAGAGTTAGAAACATCGAGGAGAAAGAAACATCGATCAGCTGCCTCCTGCACACCCCCTACTGGGGATGTGCCCGCAACCAAGGTACATGCCCTTGACCGGAATCGAACCCGGGACCCTTCAGTCCACAGGCTGACGCTCTATCCACTGAGCAAAACTGTCAGGGCAAGACATTTAAACAGGTCCCAGCCCTAAACCGTTTGGCTCAGTGGATAGAGCGTCAGCCTGCGGACTCAAGGGTCCCAGGTTCGATTCCGGTCAGGGGCATGTGCCTTGGTTGCGGGCACATCCCCAGTGGGGAGTGTGCAGGAGGCAGCTGATCAATGTTTCTAACTCTCGATCCCTCTCCCTTTCTCTCTGTAAAAAAATCAAAGAATATATTAAAAAATAAAATAAATAAAAAGGTCCCAAAGGCCCGGCCAACATGGCTCAGTGGTTGAGCCTCAATCTAGAAACCAGGAAGTCATGGTTCAATTCCGGGTCAGGGCACATGCCTGGGTTATGGTGCAGATTTGATTCCCAGTGTGGGGTGTGCAGGAGGCAGCTGATCAATGGTTATCTCTCATCATTGATGTTTCTATCTTCCTTTCCCTCTCCCTTCCTCTCTGATATATTAAAAAAAAAAAAGTTTTTTAAAAAAAAGTCCCAAAGTACACAAACACAAGGGGAAAAGTCCATGTGATTATGTGAATAATTAAAAATCAAAGATGTGCCCTAGCCAGCTTGGCTCAGTGGATAGAGCGTCAGCCTGCGGACTGAAGGGTCCCAGGTTCGATTCCGGCCAAGGGCACATGCCCGGGTTGTGGGCTCGACCCCCATTGCGGGGCATGCAGGAGGCAGCCAATCAATGATTCTTCCTCATCATTGATGTTTCTATCTCTCTCTCCCTCTCCCTTCCTCTCTGAAATCAATAAAAATATATTTTTTAAAAAATCAAAGATGAAACAATACAAATAATTGAGACAACTTCAAATCAATATGAGCAATTCAAATTTGCTGTGGAGGTGAGGGAAACCTGTGGAAATAGCGATCATGGTGAAGTGATTAAAATAGTGGAGCCCAGCAATTATTCAAAACTGCAGTTATAAACAGCAACAACTTGGAAATTATAGGATAGTGGGGAATAATGAGAGGGAAGACCAATGAGAATGGGCTTGGTCCAGATATACAGGCCCTGTGAGAGGCCTGTTCCACTACATTATAAAATTGGCTACATCGGAGAGAAGGGCACAGAAACAGTGAACGAAATGACTTTAAAACCCAACACACATAATCACTATTATGAGATTTGGCTTCTTACTTTTTTTTCTTCATTTGTTTATTTTCTTATCTCTCTCTTTTCTTGCTTTTGTCTCTGTAGAGTCCCTCGTCCATCTTTAGGATCCTCGTTCAGAAATTTTCTTTGCTTGCTCTGGCCTGTATCTTCCTCCATAACGTCCATTTATGTTCCTCCAATAATGTTCATTACTTATCCTTTATCGTGCTGTAATTTTCCTTTTTTCTCACTGCATTCTTACTATGCAAACCAAATCCTTAGAGCCCATCCTAAATCCATTTCTCAGATATTTCTCCACAAGCTCTTTGGTTTACAGCTCTTCTCCAAGAAACTAATAATATCCAATTTTTCTTTACGTATTAACACATTTTCAAATATTTTCTTTCTCCTCAAAATGTTCCCACCTCCTTCACCACTCTTGTTTCCTTTGGTCGTGGTCTCTGCCTTCAAGCCCGGGAGCTCTTCATTCCCGTTGTCTTAGGCTTAGACGCCGCCTTCCCTCTCTCACATTTACTCTCTCAGGGTCAATAATATCCTGCTGGGCCCTCATTTCTCCTCGCTGACTTGCAATACTTCCTCTAACTGCTTCTCTTCCCTTCTTTAGCTCCAGTCCTTCATCTGCCTCATTCACCTGTAACTTCCTCTATAGCCTTCCTTTCCCATAGGAACAGATTCATCCGTAGTATCATTCGCTCCACCAAGACATCCTCCTCAACTTCCACCCCGTCCTCAGGCTCCTCGCTCATCACTCCCTTCCACCCTTTGAAAAGGAATTTCTATCTCAGCGCCAGTATCTCTTTCACGACCACTCTCTCCGTTTTCTCTTCGCTTATGCTCCCTGTTCCTGAGCCCTTCACATCCTCCCCATCAGTCCCCAGCTTCTCCCCTCTGGATCGCCTCTTCTCCTCGTTCAACCTCAGCTTCCCTCCACTGATGCTCAGCCTCTCCGCATCCCGCCCTGGTCTGTAGCCTCGGGATCTCACGTCCTCTCTGCTGGTCCCCACCCCGGGAAACCTCGGCGCCTCTTTCAGCCCGGACGGCCTCCTCGACCCCGTGGGAGTCCCCGCGCTCCCAACGTCAACCCTGGTTTTGCGGCTGACTTCTGGCTTCGCCCACGCTTCCCTCCGGCTCTCCGTCACCAAGCCCGCCGAAGAGTGCAACACGCTGGCCATCCGGTGCAGGAGCCGCACGCTCCTTTCCTGACTCAGGCCCGACTTCGCTTTCCGGACCGTTTCCTCGTCTTCCAGTCCCTGGGACTTCGTCTCAGGCTTCGGCTTCCTAGGCTTTGGCTTGTTTCTACCCAGAAGCTCCATTTTCTTCCCAATCACGATGAGCCCGTTCCAGGGGATCCACATTTTTTCTCGCACCGGCGACCCTCTGCTTCCCAGCTCCGGTAAGAAGCACACGCGGGCCGGGGCCTGGCCTTGGGTGCCCAGGCCGCGGGCCTTGCCGCGCCCCCTCGCCTCCCAGTGCGGCTTTCCCCGCTGCTCCCTCGGGTCCCAGAGCGGAAATCCAAACGGAAACCCTTTCTCCACAGACATTAGTCCTTGCCCTCCCTCCCCAGCTCCCCATTACCTCCCCCCAACCCCCCACCTCCCACCCCCAGCTAGTCTCCCACTCCGCCCACTAGCCCGCCGCCCCACCCACCGACCGGGGTGGGGGGCGCAATGGGCTAGCGCGCACGCGCAGACCACGCGAGCCCCTCGGCAGGCGCAGACCCAAACGGCGGCGGCGAGCGGCCAGCCTGGGGGCGGGGCTGACGTGGCGCGAGACCTCTGAGCCCCACAGCCCGAGCCCCGCACCCCAGCGCCCACGCCGTCGCTGGTTCCGGGCCCTCTCAGTTCCGCGATTCCCCTGAAAAGCTGAGGTCTGGACACAGGAAGCGACAGGCGTTGCAGCCAATGGCGTCGCGCACGATAAACCTGATACCCAATCAAAGACAAGGCTGCGGGCGGGGGGCGGGGGGAGCCACGCCCGACTCCAGGTGACTCCTTGGCAGCGAGGGAAGAGCGTCTCCATCAGCTGATAGTATCTCCACTTGGCGGGTTCTAGGGGCTAGTAAGCCGGGACCCAGCTGCGGGAGCGCGCGGGCCGTGGCCAGCCGCGGGGTCGTTGTGCGCAGCAGCTGAGGAGAGTGATGGAGGAGCACCGAGGGGCTGGGAGGTGGAGCTCTGCGGTTGAGCGTCGACCCAGGAACCATGAAGTCCCTGGTTCGATTCCCAGTCATTGCGGGCTCAATCCCCCAGTAGGGGTATGTGCAGGAGGCAAACGATGTTCCTCTCATCGATGTTTCTATCTCTCTATCCCTCCATGATATATATATATATATATATATATATATATATATATATATATATATATATATATATATAGTCTTTGGTTGATTACCTCCCCCACCTTCCGAGATTCCACATTCTGTTCCATGCTTCCATGTCTCTGGATCCTCTCTGTTCATCAGTTTATTTCGAAATTAAATTTGTGGTCCATCCTTGACATCCCTGGGTTGCAGGTCAGGCCAGTGCAGGAGACAACCAAATGATGTGTCTCTCTCACATCAATGTCTCTCTCTCTCTCTCTCTCTCCTCTCTCTCTCTCTCTCTCACCCCCTCCCTTCTACTCTCTCTAAAAATCAATGGGAAAAATACCCTCAGGTGAGGATTAACAAAACAAAAAAAGATTAAAATGGTAAATTGTATGTTATGTATATCTTACCAAAAAGCTTGTCACAAACATTACAAGAAATGAAAAATGCAGGTTAATCTCTCTGTGAACATAAATGCAAAAATCACAAACAAAATATTATCAAGTTGAATAAGCAAAATATTTTATAAATAATCTATAATAATAAAAGCATAATATGCTAATTAGACCAAATGTCCTTCTGGACGAAGTTGGGGCTGTGAGGGAAGCCTGAGTCCTGGGTGCCCGAGGGAAGCCGGTGCCGGCAGCTGGGAGAAGATAGGCCTACACTTGCATGAATTTCGTGCATCGGGCTTCTAGTACTTTATAACAAAAGTGTTCTGCCTGGCCAGTGTGGCTCAGTGGTTGAGCATTGACCCAATAAACAGGAGGTTACAGTTTGATTCCTGGTCAGAACACATGCCCCAGTTGTGGGCTCGGTCCTCAGTGGGGGATGAGCAGGAAGCAGCTGATCAATGGTTCTCTCTCATCATTGATGTTTCTCTCTCTCTCTCTCTCTCTCTCTCTCTCTCTCTCTCTCTCTCTCTCCCCCCCCCCCTTCCTCTCTGAAATCAATATATATGTTTTTTTTTAAAGTGTTCTTCCAGGAATGCAAGGTTGTTTACCATCTGAAAATCAATCAAGGAAATTCAGCACATGCCGGGAGCCGGTCCATGCTTGCTGTTTCAAGGGACCTGGCATATATGGCATACTGTTCTTAATATGTTTGCTCACTTTCTTGGCACTATGTGTTTTAACCAAGGTCACCTCTCTGAGAAAGGTTGTTTCCCCAGGTAGGGATTTTCCCCTGAAGTTAGGGAGGGAATAAAACCCCTTAACTAAGTGCCAGGCGGGTAATTAATCACTTTAACTACGAACAATCGTGCTTAAGCTACATAATCTTTACTCCCTGGAATGGAGATAAGAAACGCCCTAACCTTTGGAATAGAGATTGATAGGATTGGCATCAACTGGTATAAATACAAATGTAACAAGACAACAGGACACACAGAAACTGGAGACAGAACCTAGTGAGAGAACATGGCAAAAGAT